TGAGTCTTCATCTTGAGAGCCTTCTAGTACAATGATCTAGGAAACTTATTTAGCACACTTAATTTTTCCTTCCCCAACGGTAACGTAACTGACACTTCACAAAATTCACTTTATAAATACTTCACACCCATTCATTATTTTCATATCAATTCCAGAATATTTATCTATACCTTTCAAATGGATAAACCTTTTCTTTTATTCATCACTCTTCTTGTCATTATCTTGTTTATTATTGGTATCATCAAGCATGAAGAATTAGGTAAAGATTTCGTAGCAATAATGATAATTATAGTTTTTACGTTGAACAAGGTAATGTATTAATTTAAAAAAACATTAATGCAGGTACCTCAGAATATCCACCGCTCTATGTTTATTACTCGTTCCTTTGTTAGAGATATCCCTTGGAGCAGGTACCTCAGGATATCTCTAAGCATATAAGTTCATCCCTTGTTCTATGATGTTATCATTTAAATAAGTAAAACATGTAATGCAGGTACATTATTACTCGTTCCTTTGTTAGAGATATCCCTGGGAGCAGGTACCTCAGGATATCTCTAAGCATATAAGTTCATCCCTTGTTCTATGATGCTATCATTTAAATAAGTAAAACATGTAATGCAGGTACAGACAGACGCATAAAATGATATAACTGTTTTTTATAAAAAAAATATTGAAATACGGTATACGGAGTTTAACCACTTAATTCATATAAAAAAAATGAAAACAAATCATTCTAACTATACAAAATATTCATTAATCCAAAACTTTGTGTCATGGATCAATCTCTTACAAATTTTAAGTACCACTTTTCACTTCATGACATTTTTTAACATCACGTTTTCTCCCAACCAAATACTGTTGCACAATAAGCACAGAAGACTGCGTACCAAAGCTACTTGAAGCCAATATGTCACCTATAACACCAAGTTCAGGATGGTCACACCATTCCAACAACCTTGAAAAGATCACCGAGTTCTTACCACTTCCTTGTCCAATAATGTACAAATCATATCCAGGTTTGTCAATATCGTTAAGAAGCATTGGAATCTCTTCGCCGGTATTCGAATGGACTTCTTTCTCTGAGTAAAAAATTGAATCGTTATTGTTCACTGCCTTGTGCCTGAAGGAAATTATACACTCTTCATCCAACTCTTTTTGCATCACATTGTCTATAACAGTTGACAACATTTCGTGACGAGACTTGCTTTTTTCCATTTTTTGTTTCGTTTCTTCTGCAGCCTTACCTAACAAATTGATCCTCACAACATGTAGTTGGGTTCCTGGATGCCCCGCCATTCTCCATGCAATAGACAAGGCTTCACGGTCGTCAGGTCCACCGATGAAAATCATTATAATGCGCAGTTTTGTTTTTAATAATGATCTTAAACCGCGGTCCACCAAGATCCCTACTGAACAAGGTGCTTGTTGTAGCACATTTTTATTTATCTCACAATGTTCATTGTGGATTATTTCCGGGGCATCTTATATTGTTGAGAACTCTTTGTGAAAGGGAAGGAGAACTAGGCTCGCGCGTTTCTCTTCGGCAACATTGTAAATATCCTCGTGGATAGTTGTATAGGACGAGACAACACTTGACATGTCAAACCTAACCCCATTTTATTGTTCTACGAGTTTTTCAAATGCATTTGTTATGCTCTCAAACTCTAGTTGTGAGCCATAGTTGGTGAGCCAAAAATTTTTGAAAATCATTATACTGTCTATTTAATTATCAATCGTTCATAAAGGATTAATAAGAATAAGACTGCTTTTTTATTAAATTTTTTTTAACATAATAGTACCAAAAAATAAGCATATTAATATTTCTACTATAGAAATATGCAACTTTTATCTTAAACACCTTTAAAGGTGAACACATAATTGATTAAATTTAATATGAAACTATTTTAAACACGAATAAGGCTTAGTCAACAAAACCTTCGCTTAGCTTCCAGAGTCACATAGCTATAAAGCCCTTGGTCAAACTGAGCCTGAATCGGACACTATCTAGATGCTGCAAATGTTCATAAAATCCAGAGGTATATAACCAATTCAAAATTTCAATAAGAAAATCAAGAAATAATACTTAGAATATATGCCACAATATTTGGCACTATAACACTGTAAAGGTTTCAGAATTATTAGAATATATGCAATGAGGGTGTCTTTTGTTTTGTAAACATCACATTGTGTAATAAAAATACTCTCTGATGGTCTATTAAAGTAAAAATGATAGTATTCTCTGATGATACAACTCATGTTTGATGCAGACTCACAACAAACTATCCATAATTATACTAATTAATTAATGAATGAAGAAGACATCACATCAATATCATGTCATAATGATTAAAAGATGGGCTATAATAGTACTACATGCTTAATGAGAGAAGGTCTCTCCTCTCTCTGAAAAGCTTAACGTGCTTCTGTCTCCCATTACCCTAGGGTTCTGTGAGTTTTTCCCCATTTTCTTTGATTTTTTCCTCCTACGACTGTTGGTTTCTCCTCCTTAGTCTGGTAGGTCTTCTGCTCTTAGGGTTGTCTTTTCTATGGAGAAATGGAAGGCATTATCACTGTCAAAAGAAGAAGAACTGAGTAAGAACTTGTTCCTCTTCTGTTTTTCAACAAAGAGAGATTTGGAGAGTGTTCTGTGAAATGGTCTGTGGAGTTTCGACAGAAACCTTCTTGTTCTTGCACGAGTGTCTGGGGAAGAGCAACCTTCGGTGTTGAATATGCACTTCAGAAGTTTTTGGGTAAGGGTATATGATCTCCCTTTGATGCTAAGAACTGAATCAATGGCATACAAACTGGGTTGATTTCTAGGAGCTTTTGAGGAAATGGGTCCAAAATATATCCATATAAATGGTAGATTCCTCCGGTTGAGATTCTCACTAGATTTAAAACCTCCGTTGAAAAGAGGTACGACGGTGATCTTTAAAGACAAAACCTTGAGAGACTTTTTCAAGTACGAAAGAGTTCCAACTTTATGCTTTGCCTGCGGGAAATTGGGCCATGAGCTGGAAGATTTCGAGGCAATCGAAGATCTGAGTAAAGAAGGTCTCAAATAACTTGAAGAGAAGGATCTGTCATATGGCCCTTGGATGCAGGCATCTCCGCTCCCTAGGGTACAGGTAGAACTCAAGAAGGAATCCACTTCCAGTTTTTGCAGTAGGGGCGTCTTTAATGCTTCCTCTGATAATAGTAAGTGAGAAAGTAAAGGAAAAGAGAAGGATGGGGATGAAGAAGTTGAAAATGTAGGGGTAGGACAAACGATGGGAACTTTGAGAAGCCTCCAGGAACTCTCCTGATTGGTCAGCATCAGGAAAACTTGGAAATTAAGGCAGTGGCTGAATCCCTTGGAGCGGTGGATATCTCTAACAAAGGAACGAGTAATCCAGGGAAAGGATTATGTCGGTCCCAAAAAAGAAGAAATGGATTAGGAAAACTAATCAAAGGAAGAAAGGCCACATCCAAGTGTCGAAGCTGGAGAAGGAATTTGGTAAAAGACAGCTGGTGGATGTTATGATTGTGAAGGGTTTTGTAGAGGAATGTGGAAGCAGCAAAAAGAAAAGGAAAAGTATCAATGGTGACAAGGTTGAAAATCTAGTATCAGAGGTGGTGTTGGAATACCAACGCCGCCTATCCCAATGAAAATATTAAGCTGGAACTATAGGGGTTTGGGGAATCCCCGTGCAGTTCGAGCCTTGTTGAAGCTCATCCATCTTGAAAACTCCAGTGTTCTATTTCTTATGGAACCGCGTCTGAAGAAAGAGGAAGTTATGACTATTAAAGCTAAAATTGGTTTCAGTGAGTGTTGGATCGAGGATTGTAGGGGGAGTGGAAGAGGCATAATGGATGGATTATGTATGACGACATAGAGTCTGGGCTGTTTGAGAGACATGACAATGATGTGGTTGCCCTTGCACGTGTCATTCTAGCGAGTCCCAGAATGCCCTGGGTTACCGGCGGCATAGGAGGAGCCAAGGGGTTAGGATTAGGTATACGCAGTAGGTCATGTTTTTTTTGTATTTTGGGGTGTTTTATTTTTATTTTTCATACTTTGAGAACAATCTTGGTAATATTATGGGATATTTTTTAAATTAATACATTACCTTGTTCGATGATGTTCTCATTTAATAATGTTTGAATCAAATTATGGCACTGTTAGTCAAATTAAAATGACTTTTGATTTAAAAAATAAAAACTTAGAACATTGTTTCTACCCAAGATGCATGTAGGTAAGATTCTGAAGATGCATATCCGAAATAATATTGTTTAAATAGGTTAAAATGCACTCAATGGTGTTTTTGGAGATGCATCACCAAATGTACTCTAGAAAATTCCGTTGATGCATCTCCGGATCAATTTTTGGAAAAATTAAAGTAGTTGTTTGATTTACGAAGGATAAGGTGATTAAAAATGCATCCAGAGAGATGTGTCTCCAAAACACTTGAGAGCAATTTTAAATTTTCATAGGTGTGAGTCACGCATAAAGTAGAAAAAGAATTTCCCTTAAATATTGAACTTCTACTCTAAAAGTGAAATATAATGACTCTACACTTTAATTTTGTTTAATCCAAAATGCAAAAATGCATGGTACATGAACAAAACCATACGGTGCATAAGTAAGAGCATATATGTATCTCTATCTTTCATATGACGTACTTATGTTGGCTTAAAACCACGTTATTCTATTTTAATTTATTATAAATATGTATCTTTATCTTTCATATGACGTACTTACACTGGCTTAAAACCACATTATTCTATTTTAATATATTATAAATAAATTATATTAAATATCTTAACATTTAAATAAGTAAAACATGTAATGCAGGTACAGACAGACGCATAAAATGATATAACTGTCTTTTATAAAAAAAAATATTGAAATATGGTATATCGAGTCTAACCACTTAATTCATATAAAAAAAATGAAAACAAATCATTCTAACTATACAAAATATTCATTAATCCAAAACTTCGTGTCATGGATCAATCTCTTACAAATTTTCAGTACCACTTTTCACTTCATGACATTTTTTAACAGCACGTTTTCTCCCAACCAAATACTGTTGCACAATAAGCACAGAAGACTGCGTACCAAAGCTACTTGAAGCCAATATGTCACCTATAACACCAAGTTCAGGATGGTCACACCATTCCAACAACCTCGAAAAGATCACCGAGTTCTTACCACTTCCTTGTCCAATAATGTACAAATCATATCCAGGTTTGTCAATATCGTTAAGAAGCATTGGAATCTCTTCGCCGGTATTCGAATGGACTTCTTTCTCTGAGTAAAAAATTGAATCGTTATTGTTCACTGCCTTGTGCCTGAAGGAAATTATACACTCTTCATCCAACTCTTTTTGCATCACATTGTCTATAACAGTTGACAACATTTCGTGACGAGACTTGCTTTTTTCCATTTTTTGTTTCGTTTCTTCTGCAGCCTTACCTAACAAATTGATCCTCACAACATGTAGTTGGGTTCCTGGATGCCCCGCCATTCTCCATGCAATAGACAAGGCTTCACGGTCGTCAGGTACACCGATGAAAATCATTATAATGCGCAGTTTTGTTTTTAACAACGATCTTAAACCGCGGTCCACCAAGATCCCTACTGAACAAGGTGCTTGTTGTAGCACATTTTTATTTATCTCACAATGTTCATTGTGGATTATTTCCGGGGCATCTTCTATTGTTGAGAACTCTTTGTGAAAGGGAAGGAGAATTAGGCTCGCGCGTTTCTCTTCGGCAACATTGTAAATATCCTCGTGGATAGTTGTGTAGGACGAGACAGCACTTGACATGTCAAACCTAACCCCATTGTATTGTTCTACGAGTTTTTCAAATGCATTTGTTATGCTCTCAAACTCTAGTTGTGAGCCATAGTTGGTTGCTTCTGTTCCACCAACTGTGTTGTTTGAATTATCCATTTGGGAAACAAGAATAGCTGTGCCATGTCTAGTGAGTTGAACTAGGTGAGTTACAGAGACATGTATAGGTGAAAGTCTAGTAGCATTTGTGGCTTCAATGACATGGATCATGTTATTGGCGTGTTTAACATTGTGGACACAAGCGACGATTCGAAGCTCCATATCGAACCTCAGTTTTTGCACGGTCCTTAATTGTGATTGCATGAATCGGAATTTTGGTTTGTATATTGCATTGATCAAGGGAGAGACCATCACAGTCATTACTATAATAGCAAGCATCATAACCATGAAAGTATATGGATCCAAAATCTACAAAGAAAGACGAAAAAACAATAACTTAATTAAAAGGCCGTTTCATTTAAATCATGCAAAATAAAAGTTAGTAGTTTAAAATTACCCTTTTGTCCCAAGCAACATTCAGTAGTATGACAGCCATGATACCCTTGGTGTTGAGAAGCAATCCAATGGCAACTCCGTCTCGAGCAGGCATACCGAAAAAGAAAGTGACAACCAGAGAGCTCAAAACTTTAGGTATGGATAACAAAAGCATAATCAACAACATTAAACCTGCATTTTATGCTTCAAAAGTAAAGGTAAGTTGAGTCTAAAACCAAATCCAGCAAAGTAAATAGGACAAAGAATCCCAGAAACAAAATCAGCTGACATTTCCAAAACCATATCAGCAAACTTTCCACGAGGCAAAATTAATCCAAACACAAAAGCTCCAACAATAGGATGTGTACCAAGACAATCTGTAATGTACGAACAAATAAACACTCCTGTCAACACGTCCAACAGGAGTGATTTTCGCCACGTGTTCGTACTTGTTTTGTGTTCAATGATTGGAGTAAGGATAGGTCTCACCACAACAAAGCAAAAAACTATGAACAACAAAGTAGAGATTACTGAGAGATAAGGCTTTCCACCTCTACTCGAATAAGGAATCAACAACGTGAACATTACCCAACCATATGTATCGGTTAACATAGCTGCTGTCAATGCATCTTTTCCAAGCTTTGTATATAAAAGTTTAAGATTAGCTAAGATTCTTGCAAGGACAGGGAAAGATGTTACAGAAAGTGTTAAACACCAGAATAAATATGCTTCGCCGTGATTTTCTTTTGGTGTTTGTGCGAAAACATCATTTTTATCTATAAGTTTTTGTTGTAGAGCTAGAAATCCAACACCAAATAACATCGGTGTCACAATGCCAGCAATTGCTATGCTTGTACCTTTCTTCCTTGATCTTAAGATGGTGTCTGCGTTCATTTCTAATCCACTCAGGAACACGTAGTACATTATTCCTAAGTTTGCAAAGGTTTCAACGGCTAGGATTCCATATTGACCGTAAAACAAGGAAAATACCCATTTGAAATTTCCCAAGAGAGTTGGACTCAGAGTAAAACCAGCCTGCATTATAGAAAGTTCAGAAATTATTATATTTTTTCATCTCTCATTTATGCAATGCAATCTTAATGTATGAACTTATATGTTTTTACGTTGAAAATTCAATGTGACTAATTATCATGTGTATCAATGATTCAAATTTACGGGCAAAAGAAAGAAAGAAATATATGACGAATGAATACTTACCAACACCTGCGCAATAATGAGGGGCACGCGAAGGGGCTTGAGGACGAAGTAGAAAAGTCGAGAAACAAAAATATCATAAGCAATTTGGAGACACAAAAGAGGAACGCGTTTTACCATAACATCATCAGTCATCCAGATATTGTTTGAAGCACTAAATGATACATTATAACATGCATAATTTGCCATCTCCATCTTTTCTTTTATTGTTCTTTCTTCTCTACGAGGCCTCTTGATTAATTTCTTATGTTAATGTGTGTGTTTTCTTCTCATTTAAATAATATGTTTCTTTTACCTGAATAACATGCAAAGTTATTATGAATATTGATGTATTAGAGCTGGCAAATGCAGTTTACTTGTTGCAAATGCAGTTTACATTGTTTGTTGCTAGTATCTTCCAGAATGCTGAATTTTTCATAATCTATGATGAGATATATGGATTTTGATGATAGTTATTTTGTAATAAGCATTACGTATATTTAGATTTTAGACATATGACTTAACTGCTATTAGTTACAGAAAACAAATTCAAATTGATGAAAACTAACTAATGATGACGGTATCAGGTATCGATTAAATATGTTCGATGCCGATACCCAAATGTCTTCTTTTATTTAAAGAATTCAATTATTTCAACTAATAAGAAATATGTATATGCACCAATTTATTTTTATATTTAAATATTATCTATGTGAAATATAATTTTACATTATTATTCTTATGGATAAATTTTATAAACTTACTTTCACAAATTAACTCAAACTCATAAATTACATATGTTCGAATGATCGATAATTAGTTACTTTTAAAAAAATGTGAATTTATAGCAAGAATGCAATTTTTTTAAATAACAAAACAATACTGACATTTTAAAAAATTTTGAAAATATTAAATTTGTTTTTCAAAATTGTTTAAAAAAATAATGAGAGACATTAAGTCAGATAAATAAAATTAGAAAAGAGAAATGTATAAATACAAATTTAAAATTCAAAATTTAAAAAAAAAATATTTTACATAATTTGAGATAAAATCATTATCCTGTCTATTTATCAATCGTTCATAAAGGATTAATAAGAATAAAACTGCTTTTTTATTAAAAAAAAATTATTATAGAAATTTTAACATAATAGAACCAAAAAATAAGCATATTAATATTTTTACTATAGAAATATGCAACTTTTATCTTAAACACCTTTAAAGGTGAACACATAATTGATTAAATTTAATATGAAACTATTTTAAACACGAATAAGGCTTAGTCAACAAAACCTTCGCTTAGCTTCCAGAGTCACATAGCTATAAAGTCCTTGGTCAAACTGAGCCTGAATCGGACACTTTCTAGATGCTGCAAATGTTCATAAAATCCAGAGGTATATAACCAATTCAAAATTTCAATAAGAAAATCAAGAAATAATACTTAGAATATATGCCACAAGATTGGCACTATAACACTGTAAAGGTTTCAGAATTATTAGAATATATGCAATGAGGGTGTCTTTTGTTTTGTAAACATCACATTGTGTAATAAAAATACTCTCTGATGGTCTAGTAAAGTAAAAATGATAGTATTCTCTGATGATACAGCTCATGTTTGATGCAGACTCACAACAAACTATCCATAATTATACTAATTAGTTAATGAATGAAGAAGACATCGCATCAATATCATGTCATAATGATTAAAATATGGGCTATAATAGTACTACATGCTTAGTGAGAGAAGGTCCCTCCTCTCTCTGGAAAGCTTAACGTGCTTCTGTCTCCCATTACCCTAGGTTCTGTGAGTTTTCCCCCATTTTCATTGATTTTTTCCTCCTACGGCTGTTGGTTTCTCCTCCTTAGTCTGGTAGGTCTTCTGCTCTTAGGGTTGTCTTTTCTATGGAGAAATGGAAGGCATTATCGCTGTCAAAAGAAGAAGAACTGAGTAAGAACTTGTTCCTCTTCTGTTTTTCAACAAAGAGAGATTTGGAGAATGTTCTGTGAAATGGTCTGTGGAGTTTCGACAGAAACCTTCTTGTTCTTGCACGAGTGTCTGGGGAAGAGCAACCTTCGGTGTTGAATATGCACTTCAGAAGTTTTTGAGTAAGGGTCTATGATCTCCCTTTGATGCTAAGAACTGAATCAATGGCGTACAAACTGGGTTGAATTCTAGGAGCTTTTGAGGAAATGGGTCCAAAATACATCCATAGAAATGGTAGATTCCTCCGGTTGAAGGTCGCACTAGATCTAAAACCTTCGTTGAAAAGAGGCACGATGGTGAGCTTTAAAGATAAAACCTTGAGAGACTTCTTCAAGTACGAAAGAGTTCCAACTTTTTGCTTTGCCTGCGGGAAATTGGGCCATGAGCTGGAAGATTTCGAGGCAGTCGAAGATCTGAGTAAAGAAGGTCTCAAATAACTTGAAGAGAAGGATCTGTCATATGGCCCTTGGATGCAGGCATCTCCGCTCCCTAGGGTACAGGTAGAACTCAAGAAGGAATCCACTTCCAGTTCTTGCAGTAGGAGCGTCTTTAATGCTTCCTCTGATAATAGTAAGTGAGAAAGTAAAGGAAAAGAGACGGATGGGGATGAAGAAGTTGAAAAGGTATGGGTAGGACAAACGATGGGAACTTTGAGAAGCCTCCAGGAACTCTCCTGATTGGTCAGCATCAGGAAAACTTGGAAATTAAGGCAGTGGCTGAATCCCTTGGAGCGGTGGATATCTCTAACAAAGGAACGAGTAATCCAGGGAAAGCGATTATGTCGGTCCCAAAAAAGAAGAAATGGATTAGGAAAACTAATCAAAGGAAGAAAGGCCACATCCAAGTGTCGAAGCTGGAGAAGGAATTTAGTAAAAGACAGCTGGTGGATGTTATGATTGTGAAGGGTTCTGTAGAGGAATGTGGAAGCGGCAAAAAGAAAAGGAAAAGTATCAATGGTGACAAGGTTGAAAATCTAGTATCAGAGGTGGTGTTGGAATACCAACGCCGCCTATCCCAATGAAAATATTAAGCTGGAACTATAGGGGTTTGGGGAATCCCCGTGCAGTTCGAGCCTTGTTGAAGCTCATCCATCTTGAAAACTCCAGTGTTCTATTTCTTATGGAACCGCGTCTGAAGAAAGAGGAAGTTATGACTATTAAAGCTAAAATTGGTTTCAGTGAGTGTTGGATCGAGGATTGTAGGGGGAGTGGAAGAGGCATAATGGATGGATTATGTATGACGACATAGAGTCTGGGCTGTTTGAGAGACATGACAATGATGTGGTTGCCCTCGCACGTGTCATTCTAGCGAGTCCCAGAATGCCCTGGGTTACCGACGGCATAGGAGGAGCCAAGGGGTTAGGATTAGGTATACGCAGTAGGTCATGTTTTTTTTTTTGTATTTTGGGGTGTTTTATTTTTATTTTTCATACTTTGAGAACAATCTTGGTTATATTATGGGATATTTTTTAAATTAATACATTACCCTGTTATATGATGTTCTCATTTAATAATGTTTGAATCAAATTATGGCACTGTTAGTCAAACTAAAATGACTTTTGATTTAAAAAAATAAAAACTTAGAACATTGTTTCTACCCAAGATGCATGTAGGTAAGATTCTGAAGATGCATATCCGAAATAATATTGTTTAAATAGGTTAAAATGCACTCAATGGTGTTTTTGGAGATGCATCACCAAATGTACTCTAGAAAATTCCGTTGATGCATCTCCAGATCAATTTTTGGAAAAATTAAAGTGGTTGTTTGATTTACGAAGGATAAGGTGATTAAAAATGCATCCAGAGAGATGTGTCTCCAAAACACTTGAGAGCAATTTTAAATATTCATAGGTGTGAGTCACGCATAAAGTAGAAAAAGAATTTCCCTTAAATATTGAACTTCTACTCTAAAAGTGAAATCTAATGACTCTACGCTTTAAT